ATTCACCACTATTCTATTTGTCATGGCGCCTATCTATTCACAAGGATTTATTTGGAAAATGAAAACTCTGATTTTGGGCCCAAGGTCACACCACATTCTATCAAATTTAAGTCACATTTTTGATATCATGTCTATCTTCTGGAATGTATATTGAATAGCACAAGGGACCTCTGTCCTGACAGATAATGGAATGAGAGATTACCTTGCTGACTAGTGGAAGCAGTGCCTCCTCTGCCCTTTGACCTTTAATGTGAGACTGCTGGAGAATTTATCAGTGACAAAATGGTGAAAGAGCACAGCAGGATAACTGTGATGAAATAAGTCACTGAATAAAACCAGCAGTCGCCTTGTTCTGAAAAACAGGGTGAGAGTAAAACAAAGAGGGAGTAAGATAAAGGACATGTAGTTCTTTCATTTCTGATGATGAAAAATGTAAATGTAAACACTACAAATCAACCGCACTACAAACTGCAGCCTGCAAAATGACCATAAAGTTGAATTAAAACTTCCCTAACACAGCTTATTGAAGCCTTCACGATAGGAGGATTTCTCCTAATGCTGTTGTAGCAGACCGCATAAGTTTAAGCTAGGTGTACCTAATAAACTGCTAACTGAGTGTATTCATATGCACAACAATGAAATTAGATTCTTGAGATGCTTTGAATTATTTTGCTGTGCTTAAGTCATCATTTGACTTGAAGAAAGGAATCACATTTTGTGTTTAGGCCAGTTCTGAGCACAAGAGGGTCTTAATATGGGTGTGAAGAATTAACAAATGTTTTGCAAGTCATATGATGCTTGACAACAATAGAGATCTTTCAAACTGCTGTAACTGAAATCAGTGGAAATTATCCTCGTCATGTTTGACTCTCTCGTGCTAAAGTGGTGCCGATATTCAATATCAACCTTTACCAAAGTGAAACATTTCCTGCGACTATAACTCATCGTATGGTTTCAGATGGGCTTTTTGGAGTCTGTGACATGTCAACCACTTGAGCACCGCAGAATACTGAGGTTCATTGCTTATTGTTTCCCGCGGCATGTGGTCGCTGCATGAATGAGTTTCTGTGGAAATAAGTGTGAGTGAAGAGCCTTGTGTAAGAGTGGTAGGTGGATGAAAACCAGCAATTTGATGAGGACCCTCACCGAGGAGCGGGTTCCACTCAGCTTCACCTAATGGGAGTGAAGTGGATGATGGGTAACCAGGGCAGAGGCACTGTGGAAATGATCGGATGATACATTTTTGACCGTCACACCTTCTCACTGTGCTGGGAGTCATGTAACACACAAGAAACAGCTTAGTGATGGTAAAAATTACAGACATTCAGGGTTTAATGAGGGATTGTGGTGCTTGTTTTCAAGTTGTCTGTTTAAGTAAAACATTGGATTCTACTGATACGTATTTATTTAAAAACACATTATTTTACAGATTATTTTCATGTTTTATCACTTAATTGTTCAGTTTTTAAATACTTGTATCAGAAAATAACAAAATAAATGCCCAGCAGTTTTGTTTGTGAAGATTCTCAGTCATCCAGGTCATTGTATATCAAAGTGCCAAAAAAAAAGGTCAATAAGACTTGGTTTAGTTTCTTGAAGACGTTTCACCTCTCATCCAAAACCTGGGACCTGGGAGTCCCAGCAACATAAATGTATAATGTCTCAAAGTTATTTGTTCAATTGCATTCTATATCCTGTAACCTCTTCCTGTTATATATCGTCTCCAGTGTCTGTGTCCATCAGCAGTAAATGTATTGGGACATTATTGCTCTGTATTATCCCAACAGGAATCATACCAGCAGAAGAACAGAGCTTTTCATGAGTGTGAAAGTTTCTACTCGTCTGATAAAAACTCCATATCCAGTAAATCAGGCTGCTCAGATGATGTTTTGTCACAGAAGCAAATGCACAACATGTCTGAATGACATTCAGTGCACTGGTTGACTTCAGCTGTTCAGGCCAAGACTCAGAGCAGGAAAAAAAACTAGGAGCTCTCACTCTGTTGCAAGTTTTGGGTACCACACAAATCATCCCGAGTCGACGATGACTGAAGCACAAACCTTTGAGAGATGATAACACTCAAGTGTCTCTCAGCGTTTTGTTTTTCCAGCCAGGAACTTTGCTGTTTTTATTCACTCACCACTCAAATCAACCTTGTTTCCAGTCACAATAGAATCAAATAATCCTGTTTGTCTAAATGTGCCAGCTTACAACAGTATCGCATTGACCACAACAAAGTATTAAAGTCAAAGTCAAAGACACAGATGGGAATGAAATGCCATTTTCTCTAATCCTGTACAAGTAGACAGAACATATAAGTATGCAACATATTCAAGTACTCAAGTGACATAAGTACACAACATAGTACACAGTCAAAAGGCCCAACTATACCTTTAAGCGCTACTCACATCATATTTAACCAATAGTTCACCCCAAAATAAAAATTCACTCACTATCTACTCACCACTCTGCCGATGGAGGGGTGGGTGAAGTGTTTGAGTCCACAAAACACTTTCAGGAGTTTCAGGGGTAAACAGCGTTGCAGCCAAATCCAATACAATTGGAGGAACTTTTTCAGACATAAAAAACTACAGAAACAAACATAAAATGCCTCCATACTGCTCCTGTGGGTTCATCCAAGTGTCCATAAGCCCCGACATTCAAATACGACTCGAAACAGCGTCATTTACACGAACGTGGCTCCGGAGGACAGAAGACATTTAGGCTAAAAACACAGTGTAAATGACCTTGTTTCAAGCTGAATTTGAATGTCAGGGTTTACAGGCACTTGGATGACACCACAGGAGCAGTATGCCTCCATCTGCATAGTGGTGAGTAGATAATGAGTGATGTTTCATTTTTGGGTGAACTACCCCTTTAATGTTGTTAAGTTTTCCTCAACACAAAATCAAAGGCGTTGAAACATTTCCAGGACTTGATTGACAGGATGGATCCTTTGATCCAACTCTGCAGGATTGGCTGAGCTTTAACTCAGCAGAGTGAGGCCTCCTGTCTGCAGAGGCTCACTCGGTGGGCTGGCGGAGTCTCGCTGTGTCAGCAGCTCTGAGTCTCTTATAACCAGCGGCCTCCTCCTCTGGAGTCTCTCCGTCTTCTGTCTCCACAGGCCGACACTCCTCCACCCACCGCTCAGCATGACCTCCGCCGCCCAGCCCATCTTCTCCCAGGGGGAGGACTGTAAGGAAGCATGGCACGACGCGAGCGCCGGATACAACGAGGCCGACACGCACCTGGAGATCATGGGAAAGCCCGTCATGGAGCGCTGGGAGACCCCGTACATGCACTCTCTGGCCACCGTCGCAGCCTCAAAAGGTAATGCGAGCGGGTTGACGGACTGCATCCATTATCGGACGCGCTTTTTGGATACTGTGTCCGAAAATAGGCTCATATGCTGCACTTTTTTTTGTTTTTGAAGATTTGCATTTACAACAACATGTCAATGTGATTCACAGTTATAAGTGACTCATGGTCATTTTGCAAACAGCTGTATGCCATTCATATAAATCATGAAACAATATAAATGCAAATACAAAATTAAAATGAGTTATGCATTAAAAACGTTGAACCTCACTGTTGGATGAGTGTGCATCTAGTTCATCTGCAGTGAAGGAAACACAAAAGTACGAGGAGAATAAATTAATAATGTTGAATCACAAATTTTAACTGCTATCATACTTTGGTCTACTTTATACACTGTTGAAAGATCACACAAGCAATCTCTGATGTGCATTTGTGTATGTATATATCAATACATATAACACTTATGTACACACACACACACATATATATATATATATATATATAAAAATATAATAATATAAATAAAATAAAAAATAATAACAATAATACATTTCCCTTGGGGACCATAAAGTATTTTTTGAGTGTTTGCACATTATCAGGCTTCCTCTGCTATTTCATGCTGAACTGTGTTGAGGACACGTGTGAGCAGTGTGAGGGCCATGGTGGAGCTGAGAGCAGCTGTTTCACTACTCCATAGAAATCTGTAGGGGGGGAAACGTCTCATCTGCTCGTAATGTGAAAATAGACTGATCCACACTTACCCCTGCAGACGTACAGGAAGAGAACAGGCGTGTGCACCAAAAACTGCCTGCACAACATTGCAAAAATGCACATTTCACCTGCAATTTGTTTTTTACATTGATATGTGTGTAGTATTTAAAAAAAAATAAAAAAAAATTCTTTCTTTCCTTAATATTTATTTTGTCCATGTACAGAATATATCCAGGTATATCCACAATACATTCTGGACACTCTTAGTGCGAAAAAAGTTATTTTGCACACTGAGGATGTAAACTTTATGTGAAAACTTTATGTGAAATATCATATTTTCACTTTGTGCTTCTTACTAAAATGAATACATTTAAAACGTGACTATTAGAGTGTGCAGCTGATTATAGGCCCAATAAATCAATATAGAGGCTTGAAGTAAAAATTAATAACCTTTTAACCTCATCTATTCTTATGCCTCTAAGCAAATTAAAAACTTTGGCCTTTCGGTTCAACCAGATTGCAAACAACTGGCTTTCTCTCACTCAGCAAAGGGAGAAAACTTGAACTCGTAAAAGTCACTGTAATATCAAAAGCAATACATCCAGTCAATAGCTCAAAAATAATGCTGCTGTTGTCCACCAGTCTCAGTGTGATTGTAGCACTGGAACCAGATCAACTTTGAACCAAACCATATCGTATTTGTATTTGCTGATATACTGGACGCTGAACTTTTAATGGACAAAAAATGCCACAGACATGTAACAGTAACAGTTGTACAAGTTTGTAACAAACAGAAAGTAGAAAGATATTCTGACTCTGAAAACCTGCTGATTTTTGTTTCGGCTCTGATCTGTATTTTAGGTGGTCGAGTTCTGGAGATCGGTTTCGGCATGGCCATCGCCGCCACTAAAATCGAGTCTTTCCCCATCGAGGAGCACTGGATCATCGAGTGTAACGATGGTGTCTTCGCCAGACTGGAGAACTGGGCCAAATCTCAGCCACATAAGGTCCGTGGGCCCTGACCAATCAAATAATAATATCTGCCTGTGTTGGTTGAAATCTGGTGTAACTGCTTGTTTCCAGAGTGTTTTCTGTTCTTGTCCTCGAGTGTGAAGATGCTAATTAATGGAGCTGGTGTTTTTGTTACTGCAGGTCGTCCCTCTGAAGGGTCTTTGGGAAGACGTTGCCCCTACCCTGCCAGACAACCACTTCGATGGTAAGAACTTGTGGAGATATGCAGATTACTGTTTTACTTTATGCACATTTTTGGCTTTACAGTTTGAAAATCTGTCTGGCTGACCTTTATTTAGCAATAACACAAATGAAACATCCCATGAAGTTGTCATCACGTCACCCTGACAACACAGTGTGAAGATGTATCATCCATGTTCTCGAGTTAGAGGGACAGATGGGTGCAGCTCGAGGCATTTTCAGATTCACTGCGATAAAAACAAAAACATACCTTGTTTTATATGTAGTTCTAACACTGGGTCTCTGCTCTCTCAGGTATCCTGTACGACACATACCCTCTGTCAGAGGACACGTGGCACACTCACCAGTTCGACTTCATCAAGGTGAGTAGTTCAAATCTACACACGACACACAGGAAGTTACACACATAAGATGAACCCTCTGCAGTCTGAGGCCTCGTCAGCCTCTTCGGAGATTGTTCACATGCTTTAATATTTTCATATATTTTATAACTAAAATGATTTATTTCAATTGACTTCTACAAACAAAGCACCAATAATCTAAAGGCAGGAAGAATGTCATCGATACATGGACATTTCTGTAAATCATTCCACTGTGACCGCAGAGGACTGGAAAACTGGATTAAATGTAAATGAATATTGGTACAAAACATGACATGTATGAACACACAAAAACAAAACATGCACAGTATCAATAGACAACAGAAAAGACTTTAATGTAAAGATATTGGCATCAGTCTTTGGTTTTGGCAGCTCTCAGAACACACACACACACAGTGTATAACAGTGATAACATTACATCTTGTTAAATTTGGTTCACACACCAGTTTGTCTTCTTTAGGTCATATCTCGATGGGACTTGAAGGATTGATTATTGATTGTTTTGCTGATGTGTGTGTTCTGCTGCAGGCTCACGCTCACAGGATGCTGAAACCCGGCGGCATCCTCACCTACTGCAACCTGACCTCCTGGGGCGAGCTGCTCAAGACCAAATACGACAACATTGAAAAGATGTTCGAGGTTCGTCCTCCTCACTAACAATCCTGCTGAACCTGTTAAAACCTTTACGTACCAGCCGTTTTGAGACATGACAATACATGAGCATTAACCGCAGTAGACACGGATCAGACACGTTCACAAAGGAAAATGTCACTCTGGAAATTGTGTGCCTGACTGGAAGCAGCTCTAATGCTGCTTTAAATACTTGCTAACCCTGAGAGAGATGTAACTAGTTTGATTTCAGTTTTAGTCGTCTGTGGTGCAAGAAATAAAGTACTTGCACCACAGACGACTGAGAAGTGATACTGAGAAGTGATATCAAAATAATCACCTAATCCCTGGAGTTGTTTGAAGTGGATCTACAGTGGGATTATTCTCTCTGTCCTGCGACATGTGTTTCAACAGAACTGTTAGAAATGTGATTGATTTGTGTCATGGCTGTATTCATCAGCCACAGTACTAAGTGCACATGTTGGGTGACTTGAGTGCAAATTAAATAATGTGCAGCAATCATTTCAAGGCTAATGATAAACTGGACCAGGTTGATAAAGCTGTGAGCCGCCTCAAACCGATCAACTCTGTCTGTCAATGATTTACAGGAGACTCAGGTGCCTCATCTGCTCAAGGCTGGATTCAAGAAGGAGAAGATTAGCACCACCACCATGGACATCGCCCCCCCCAGTGAATGCAAATACTACTCCTTCAATAAGATGATCACTCCCACCATTGTCAAGGAGTAAAGTCTGAACATACTCATTTTTTAACTCATGTGCCTCCTCAGCTGAACCTCCTGACCTCACACTGTTTTTCACTGACATTTCTCAATAAAGCCAAGTCCCTCCCAACTCTTTTCAGAGGTGGTTGTATTTTATGCATGTATTATCAGTTTCATACTTCCAGCCTGTATCTTATTGATTTCATTTGTTCATCTCTACCTTGATAAAGTTTATTATTCACAGTAACAAATATGAAACCACAGCAGACTGAAAGCACCAAGAAATGTGTCATGCGTAACCCAGTTTAAGACCAAGCTGCAGATTTATCACTACATGTTTCAATGCAGGCGTTGTCATGCACCTCAGAAAGTTTAGTCTCTTCTCTATGTTCACGGTTAAACTGTGCAGAATCACGCAACTCCAGACAAAATGTGACGACAAAATGATAAATCAGAGGTGTGGTTTCCCAAATGAAATGTCCATTTTTCACAATTTACAATAAAATGTATGAATTTCCTCCGAAAACCTGTCAAATTCTGAGCTGGCAAAAATCTTTAATTTCAAAGATTTTTATGAGACACCAGTAAACTGAGAATTTGACAACTGAAACAATGTGTAATGCCTTGGTTTCATTTGTTCCATTTAAAACAGTATGTTTGTGTGTTTTTGTTTAGCGAGGTGGAAGCAGGACAGTATCTTCATTTATGGCTGCAGATAAAGCTGCATGTTATCTGAACACGTGGGCACAAGTTGCCACCTGGTGAGGACACATTAATCATTAGATGGATGATGCAACACTCAGCTGCAGTAAAGAGGGAAACTACAACAGCTGCTCGGATCTGAACCCTGAGCATGTGACCCTTTTATTTTAGGAAGTGAGACGTCGCACTCAGAGAAACATGAAGAGGCAAACGCAAGAGACTAGAACTGCAAATAATCAGTCAGTTGTTTTTAAGCAAAAAAAAAAAATAATCAAAATATTTTCTGGTTTCAGCCTCTCAAATGTGATGATTTGTTGTTTTTCTTCACATGAAGCATGAAACTGAGTAACTGGGTTTTTCGGGTTGTTGGTCCAATGGTTGTCAGGGTGACTCATTGGGAAATTAGAATTCACTCTAGTTTCTGACAGTTCAGGGGACTGAATAATGAAAACTGTTCAGCCACCAACATCCACCAGTGTTCTCCTTCTAAAGTCATCTGTAGGGTTGGGACATCTTTTTGTAGGTATATATTTTGGTGGTATATAGTCTTCTGTGATATACTGATAGACTGGCACCAGTATTGTGAATTGTTGTATTGCAGTTCTGAGGCAGTAACCTTTACCTGTCTCACTCAGAAATTTGACTCCTCAGTCTAAAACTACTGGAAACACAGAAAATAGTATTTTTTGATTGATCCCTGCTTTATGGAGAGCAGACGTCATGCTGCACCTTTTATGTGAGAGAACTCCAATAACAGTGTTTTAGAACCTGTTCAGAACCGGCACAACCAGAAAGTCTCCCACACAAACACTTTGCTGTTGCAGTGTTTTTATGTTGATTTACACTAAGCTGCATAAGAGCAACTCTAAATAAGAGTCAATATGGAGTAGTAGTAAGTGTATATATATATATATATATAAATATATATATATATATAGTTGATATTTGTAGCCACATATACTGAAGAGCTAATGCAGGATACATAATGTACAAATTCCACATAATATAGTTCCCAGAAATACACCTCTCATTTGAATACCTGGCATTTGAGGACCTCTGTGAATGTTACATCTGATCACTGCTGAATGTGGACACAGAGCTGTCGAGGTCAGAGTTGGTCACAGGAGCCACCTAGTGGCGCAAACCTGACTCTTCTGGTCACAGTATTTAAAGGTTGAGGGTGAGGTTACATATTGTAACAAACTAGACCCTCCTCACCTCACCCTGCTCCTTAAAGCAGGAAGGAGAACCTACGCTGGCCTTCAGGAAACAGTCAGTGTTCGGTTTGTTTTTTACTGGGCTGACTCTGTGAAAGATGAAGGGGTCATCTTACAAGGATGTTTAAGTTTCAAATGATTATCAACTAATAAAAAACATAATTATAAATATTATATTAAATTTGTGCTGATACACTCCCTCAAATCCTAAACTGGACCTTATTGACACAACAGATGTTCCGATCCATTTTCATGTAAGCCCACTTTATTGAAAATGATATTCAATGAACTGTCTCTAAATTACAACAATGATTTAATTGAAGTTAGTTCTTGCAGCGCTACGTGAAGGAGGAGCTGAGCTCCAGATGAAACCAGAAATACAACATTTACATAGAAGATACACTCATAGAATTTACACATTCACTTCCGATACCAGATCCTCATCTTCTTCTCACGTTTGATTTTCTTCTGCAGCTGTAAAGTCCCATAGAGGAGAGCCTCTGCAGTGGGAGGACAACCTGAGGACAGGCGGGATGAAAACAGATTCACTCAGATTTTAACCATAATAATAATATAAGTATATGGGGTAATACTGCTATTAAATATACTACATCACAGCAACCAAAAAAAAGAACTAGTGCATTTATAATAATTACTACTGTTACTATAAATATCATCTCTACTGTCAAAAGTACAACTACTTTTCCTTAACTAGTGACCAGAGCTACCATGTGTGAGAAGTCATGATTTCCACATTATGCTGTTAAGTTTACCTGGAACATAAATATCCACTGGTACGATTCTGTCGCAGCCTCTGACGACAGCGTAGGAGTAGTGGTAGTAGCCTCCTCCATTAGCACAGCTGAGAGAGAGACACCAGGACATTTCTTTAGGTTTATGGTTTAGACCATAACCCTCAACTCATATAATAGGAATTAAACATGATTTGCATTAGTTAATGACTAAACTAATACTTTGTAAAACTTTCATATATAATATTTCAAGCTCGAGTATTTCAGTGCAACAGAAATGTAGCAAATGTTAGTCAAGATTCAAAACATTGTTGTACATTATATATGTATATATATGTATATATATATATATCTCCTCTGGAAGTAACTCACCTTCCCATAGAAATGACGTATCTGGGCTCAGGCATCTGATCATACACCTGTAAGAGAGACAGTTCAGTCGCTGTTGATTAAATTCTGACTAAGAACTAATCTTTCCTTAGAGCTCGAGGAAGGCTGCATTCAACTCTACAGATCCACCAACAGATGGGTGATAATCCAGTCAGCATTTACACGGATATACTGTCCTCAGTGCTCTCAAACAGAAACATCTGAATGACAGAGCACTTGTTACCCACTATGTCTCTGAGCAGAGAGAAAAAAAAAAAAAGAACAGGTTCTTCCTCTGTTTCAGAGATCACACACAACTACCTTCACTGACGTTACGTCCCACTCTTTCACTACTCTCACCTTCCGCAGAGCCGGAGCCATCTTATTGGTCAGCGTTCCTGCCACGATCATGACGTCAGCCTGCCGGGGGCTTGCTCTGAACACGACTCCGAAGCGGTCCATGTCATAACGGGGTGCTGCCATGTGCATCATCTCCACCGCGCAACATGCCAGCCCAAAGGTCATAGGCCACAGAGAGCTCTGAGGGGGAAACACAGCGACGATAAGCTCACACACTGTGAATGTGACTAATTTTTATTCAAGCCTGTTGTTGTCTCTCAATCTGCATTTTGACGACTTGAAAATTAAAATTGTGACTGTCAGGCCCCAGTGATGACTAACTGTCCAATGAAGTTTAACATAATGAGTCATGTTTAGCTGCCTTAACTATTATTGCCTTAATTAGAGGTTGTTCAACAGTTTCTAGTAAATAAACTGTAAAATCAAGGAAACTGAGCAGCTATAAGGTTGACTTAAATAACAAGCTCAGAAAAGATGAACCTACACATGACTGAAAGATCAAACAATGTTCATTCAAGTGAAAGACACCAACCATGTGATATTTTAGACCAAACTGTATCGTATGTCATGCTAGATTCACATCTCACGTCTCTAGAAAAAGAACAAACAAGGATCCAGACATTCATTCATCTACTCCACACATGCTGGATGTTAACCGGCAGCTAACCGACTCACCCTGCGTGCCCAGTTAATCAGATCATCCAGCTTGGTGATAACATACTCCCCCTTGCTGCTGGCTACAGACGCTGGTTTGGCTGCTGCCACTGCCGTGCTCTTCTCTCTGACTGGAACCACACTGCAACAGAAGGACAGCTTTACCGTGTGCAGAGTGTTTACAGGATGTCTGTTGTTCTTCATTCTAATATTTACACCACAGCAGCTTTGGAAATCTCACCTCGTGCAGGTTTTCTCATTTTTAGCCCCGCTGTGCAGACTCTTCTGTTGAACAGCAAACACTGAGAAAGGTCTGTTGGATCGAGAGCAGGTCAGAGAAGGAAATTACAAATGATGACAAGAAAGAGATGAAACTATTATATATAGCATATTTATATTTTAAAACACTTAATAAAAGAATAAAAAGCACCAACAGAATTATATACACAGATCATACTTTATTTTGAAAGATGTTGGGTTTGTCTTAGCCTCCTGAACTTGATGCTTCAACAGCAAATGTTTCAGCACTAACTTTTGATTGGAACAGCTTTATTTAGAAATGTCCTTCAGTGGGACATCGACGGACATCATCACAGTAAACTGATAAACTCAATTTGGGTGAATTGGTAACATGATGATGTGTCAGATGTGGAACAAACTGTATCATCTGTAACTGTGGTCAGTAAACACATCTAATTTTCAGAGAATGTTGAAGCCTGCATTTGCCACTGAATGAAAGTAGCACTAATATAAAAGATGAATAAACCCAAACCCTGCCATGGATCATGTTAGTGAAGCAGTTGCAGGACCAAAAGGACTGAGCTGGATTAATTAGGTTATGAAACATGGAACAGGATTAGTGGGTTCTTACCTTGTTGAGAAGGAGCCAAACAAGGCGAGGCGAGGCGCTGCAAAACAAAAACAAACAAACTGAGGAAAACATCATCATCATCATCATCATCATAATAATAATAATAATAATAGAGAACTGAGGATTTTAGATATTTTGCTTAGTATTTTTTTTCCCAAGTGGTGATTTTCTTTGGACAATGGATTCATGTGTGATATAAATCATTCCATTACTTTGCTTGAATAAAAGCCAACATTTGACTGCCTGTGGGATTACATCATGTAAACACTTTTACAAAGTTTGGTCATTTTATGAAGCCTAGGACGTGTCAATGTAAACAGACAACAAGACTCAATCATTACGGTAAATCCACCACAAACTGCTGTTGCCTGAATAATCTATAAATTCATGATCGAATGATGCAGCATCATACCTCCTAACATTGTCCACACTATGATCAATGTTTGATATGGACTCATTCTAACGGTAACACGAGTTGCATTGTGTGTTTAATGTGTGCCGAATTATGGATTAGAGCCTAATGTATTTATAAAAGCAGTTAATTGATACTTCAATGATCATAATGTTTGTAGATACGGGTAATGACACTAAA